CTCCTGTCCCCGGCACGCACCAGATGGCACTGCGTCCTTCCACTACTCCACAGCGTGTCCCTCTTCCGTCTCCTCCTACGTCCTCCCTTGCTGTCGATCCGGACCCGGAGTCTGACTCCCTTCGTGCTGCTAGTCCTCCTGTCACGCGTTTCTTGGCCACTGTTGTCACTGACCCTTCTTTTGAGTCTACTGCTGCGTCGGCTATTGTTGCTGAGCTTGTCGACTTTGCTACTCGCTGTCGTCTAGACCACGCCGCTAGTCTTGTTGCTGAGTCTGAGTCTGTCTGTCCTCCGTCCGTCGGGGGTGAGTGTGCTCTTAGCACGGACGTCCTTGAGGACAGGCAGGAGGAGTTCCAGTGTTTTGCTGCTGCTTTACCTCATCTCGTGTCCATGCTAATTGCCCCTAAGGGAGACCCGGATGCACCAGACATCCCGACCCCGCGCTCTTACGCTGAGGCTATAGAGGGTCCCTACTCCTCTCAGTGGCAGACAGCCATGGACGCAGAGATGGCTTCCTGGAAGTCCACAGGCACTTATGTTGACGAGGTTCCCCCACCTGGGGCGAACATTCTCGATGGCATGTGGATTTTCAGGGTGAAGCGGCCGCCGGGTTCTGCGCCTGTCTTCAAGGCTCGTTACGTTGCATGAGGCTTCAGTCAGCGACAGGGAGTTGACTTCTTCCAGACCTTCTCCCCTACCCCGAAGATGACCACTCTTTAGGTGCTGCTGCACGTCGCCGCTCAGCATGACTACGAGCTTCACTCTCTTGACTTCAGCACAGCCTTCCTACAGGGCAGCCTGCACGAGGAGATCTGGCTGCGCCGCCCACCTGGCTTCACTGGGTCGTTTCCTCCTGGTACCCAGTGGAGCCTCCGGCGGCCAGTCTACGGTCTCCGCCAGGGGCCCCGTGAGTGGCACGACACACTGAGGACTACGCTTGCGGCTCTTGGGTTTGCTCCTTCCACTGCTGACCCGTCGCTGTTTCTACGCACCGACACTACTCTGCCGCCGTTCTACATCCTCGTGTACATCGACGACTTGGTCTTTGCTACTGCTGACACTGCTGGACTGGCCCACGTGAAGTCGGAGCTGCAGAAGAGACACACGTGCACAGACCTGGGTGAGCTGCGCAGCTATCTTGGCTTGCAGATCACCCGGGACAGAGCACGCCGCACCATTACCTTCACTCAGTCACACATGGTGCAGCAGGTCCTTCAGCGCTTCGGCTTCACGTACTCCTCGCCTCAGGCCACTCCTCTGTCTACTCGCCACTCGCTCTCAGCTCTGCCTTCGGATGAGTCTGTAGAGCCGAGTGGCCCGTACTCAGAGCTTGTGGGCTGCCTCATGTACCTGATGACCTGCACTCGTCCTGACCTGGCATACCCTCTTAGCATCCTGGCACGCTATGTTGCTCCTGGGAGACATCGACCAGAGTACATGGATGCAGCTAAGAGGGTGTTGCGCTACTTGTGCAGTACGTCGGGCATGGGGCTCGTGCTTGGAGGACGGGCTCGAGTTGTCCTCACTGGTCACGCAGACACTTCTTGGGTTGACGACTTGGCTACGCAGCGGTCGTCACAGGGTTACACCTTCAGCCTTGGCTCCGGCTCTGTTTCGTGGCGGTCTACCCGCTCGTCTTCTGTTCTCAGCTCCAGTTGTGAGGCTGAGATCTACGCAGGGGCCATGGCTGCACAGGAGTTACGCTGGCTCACCTACCTACTGACCGACTTGGGAGAGCCGCCTCGTTCTCCTCCAGTTCTGTACGTCGACAACAAGGCCATGATTGCCTTGTGTCAGGAGCACAGACTGGAGCACAGAACGAAGCACATTGCTCTACGCTACTTCCTTGCTCGAGAGTTGCAGCAGCGTGGTCAGCTTCGTCTTGCTTACGTGGCCACTCGGGCCAATACTGCTGATATCTTTACCAAGGCACTTCAGCCTTGTGATCATCAGCGTATCTGTACTCTGTTAGGTCTTGTGCCTACCTGGCCTCACTTGCTCACCTCTAGGCATTCTCATTCCTTACTTTGTGACACCAGGTGTGATGAGTTGTAAAGCAGAGTCGCACGGAAAACGAATAACGAAGCTGTGACTAAGAGCGTATTCCTATCCTCGTATCAAGAAAACCTCATATCAACCTCCCACTGAAAATTTCCCTAAACCCAAAACCTCTCGCTACTTTTACCAGGCAAAAAGTACAATCTTGATATGAGGTTTTCTTGATACGAGGATAGGAATACGTTCTAATTGTACCGACAATACAATGAAGGCACATTATAAAATAGTGACTATTTAGCTAGGCGGGAACCTCGGGAACACGAGGTTGGGTGCAGGTTTGGCGAAGGGAAAACCGAAGGCGACGAGAGGCAACCTCGAAATCGTGGGTGTCGGCCGAGCGTGCGACGTCCGAAAGTGTTGGGGTTGTACGCATAGGAGTCAACCCCGATAAGGAAAATGAATTTTCCTTAGACTCGGAGGAGTTTCGCCACTTGTTTTTAGTAATTCCTTGATTTACACACCCAACAATCAAAGCTGCGAAACTCTTCAGCGGTTTCTCAACACTCCGACTCGGCCTAGTCTGTGGACCTCCCATTTGAGGGGTGCTGTACAACCTGGTCGGTGGCTGGACCACAGCTGGGACGTGCTGGGCCTCGCTGGGCCGGGCTGGGCCGCTGCTGACGCCAATGTAAAACACCCCAGAGGGCCTCCCGAAGCCGCCCCTGTCAGTGACGAAGTTCCCACTCGCTGACCAAGCAACTTCTCAACAATGTTTGCATTTGTTTTTGCCATTTTTTCTCACTACCCGCATACAGGACCCTGCTACGGTCAAGGGAAGTGTTTAGGTTAGGAGCAATTGTTTTTACCGTCAGGGTACTGTTTTCCGAGAGCGCCACATTCCCGAGCATTCATTTCTGCCCGTTACGATGATGCGCCCCTTTATTCCCTCAGCCGAACAGCGCCAATTGCTGTATTTGTGAGATAATCGCGCGACGCGACGATATTAGAATTTTTCTTCATACTGTCGACTACCCTCGCACCGCGCTACCCGATTTTTGATATTTCTAAGTCTCATGGACTTCTACATGCTCTTTTGCGATAATGGCGTAAACACTCTCGACAGAGTTTGTGTCGGATTTGTTGGACGACACATTATTTTGTCAGGCATGGTTTACCCTGAATACGCAATAACCGTTAAAGCGACGGTGCACATTTGCCACCCAAAACCCAGAACCCTGGCGAACTGTTACTGCGGATGGAAAGTGTCCGCACGAAATCCTGGTTTTCGCCAGCCAGCACTTTCGCGCTGGCAAGCCTGGTTAAAAAAAAAAACGTCTGAACCCAACACTGCCAAAAGTTGCCCGTCGCTTTAAGCTATTTGCTTTTTAGGCTACATGGTTATGTAAGGCGTTATATGAATTAAATGTTGACATATTGGAGTTTAGTTTTTCAATAATATTGCGAAACGAAAAAAGCTGAACCCACTAATATACTGTTTGACACTCCTAAGAGATTTGATTTTAGAGAAGTATTCTGTGTTTTTGCTAGATAATTTTGCAAAATTGCATCTCTTGAGGCAAAAATCAAAACCTCTTTGAACATGTCTTGTGGATTTGTGGGTTGAAAAATACATTTTGTTTTGCTAAATTTGAAATTTATAGTCGACATTATATTGTTGTCTAGTCTGATGCAAGATTCCAGTTGTCTCGTTACGGTTGGTCCTAATATACACTATAATTGTCTCTACAATTTTGTATTTTTTCAACCATTGTAGCCCTGAAGTATCTACGCGTCACGTCAGTACAGCCATTGTGTATCATTAATGCAAATGTGCAAAACGTCAACTCGTACTAAGGGGTTGCAGTTATTGCATCTGCATAGCGTCAGATTTGTTTTCACCCAAAAGCAAGAAATGAATACGCAGGACAACCAGACCGTGATTGCGGGTGTAGAGCAAGTTGAGCTCCATAGGATTGAGAAATATGAAAAAAGGGGGAGCGATGTGCGAGGTTGGTCGACAGGATGGAGAAAACATTTAGAGTCGTCGCGTCGCGCAATTAGTTCTTTATTTGTTCATCAAATGGGAATCACCACACCAGCCCTCTGCTGTTCACATTTCCAGTTCAGCTGCCGTGCACGCCAGCCTTAGCCAGGCAACACTGTTCGACCAGCGCAACCTGATTACGATATAGTACTGTGAGGGCGCGTACCTTTTTAACCGACGAGGGGGTGAGACGTTCGGAACTCACGTTCAAACGACAGGCGTCCGGACCAAAGCGTAGAGTAACACACATTACAAGCAGCGCGATTGTCGCCATTAGTAATCGTACGCTAAAGACAGCGAACATAGAACGGACGGTTCGGTGGGCCGTTCGAACGGTGTCTGCTCGGTTTGCCGGTTCGTATTTGACATTAATGTGTCAGCTTCTGTCCGGACGCATGCGTCGTCGCTTGGGGTCTTGCGAATATGATTTCGAAACTGCACGACAAATGTAACCCTACAGAAGTCCGGACGGACCACCGTCCGGTCGATTGCTGTGGGAAAATATTACACGCCCTGAATCCTTGAAACCTCCAAAACCCACCAGCTTCACCCCTCCCAGATTAGCCATATTCTAATCCTAATCATGAATGATTACGATCATGATGATATAATCCTAATCCTAATCCTTCCTCACGCGGCCTATGGCTGTCCAGCGTGGCATTCGTCCGCAACAAGAATTGCCAGAGGGCTGTGTTGGGTATACACTGCACAGCCTCCCCAATGCATGATGTTTCCTTATTGAGAGGGATGTGATACGATAAATCCCTCCATCTGCTCCACCTGCATCATACGTCGTCTGACATTGCGCTTCGTTCCGAGATGTGAAGCACACTTCCGCTTGCCGCGCGTAGCCATCCATGATAACCATCGCGCTGCTCCCTGGTCCTCGGAAGCTAGTGTTAGTAGGGTGGGGGCGATAAACCCAACGAAAGATACTGCCTCTGCGGCTGAGTGCGATAATGAGAGTTTCTCGAGAGTTGGCGGCGGTGGCGGTGTGGATGGGGCTTGCGGGCGTGCTGGCGGGGCTGGTGGCGTGGACGGTGCAGAAGAACTTCGACGACAATCGCAAGGCGGAGCTCGACACCTGGTGCGCCGGTCGCGCGCGCTCGCTGCAGCAGCAGTTCATGCAGACCGCGGACCACGTGCAGGTAGACGCGCCGACACGTGCAGGTAGACGCGCCGACACGTGCAGATAGACGCGCCGACACGTGCAGGCAGACGCGCCGACACATGCAGGCAGTCGCGCCGACACGTGCAAGTAGACGCGCCGACACGTGCGCTGGTAACATTAGCCGAGAGCCAGGCGACGCCACATCGGTGCAGGTTAGGAATCAAAGTTGTCGAATTAATTAATATTCACATTTCAAAATCGTGCAGATGGTTCCAAAACTATTATCGCCTAGTAGTAGGCGATACGAGCTCTGTAGGTTAATTAGAACCGTATGGATTAAGTTCCGCATTCAGGTCCCGCGTTCCGGGTGGCGACAGCGTGCACGTAGAGCGGACGCAGTTGCTGGATAGCAGAAACGCCATGAATTGGTGTGACAGCACAACAGCCGACCACGCGGCAGCAACATTCTCTCACAACCCGCGGGTTTTACTTCGCATGTACCGGCAAGGGCTCCTCGAATCAGGGTACCCACCGGGGCGGCGGTGCAACGAGCTTGTAGTCATGAAAAAGGGTGACTTTGCAACGCGGTGATGTCCATGGTGACGTCACAAGTGGCGCGTGCGTGGATGACTCGTGGGGCATATCCGCATTGCATGCATCATTTGTAGTTGGAGCCTGTAGCAACAGCTGTGGCACATGCATTTCCAGCAGATGCATTCACTTCACAGCGGATGCATTCTCAGCACATGCATTCGCAGCACATGCATTCGCAGCACATGCATTCGCAGCACATGCATTCACAGCACAGGTATTCCCACCAGACGCATTCCCGCCAGACGGCAGTAGTGCCGAAATGGGTGTGTTGCTTCCAGTAGTGCCGCCACTGGTGAAGCGCCACGCCCACCCAGCGCGACTGCCGCTCCACCCCTCTGCCGTCTTTCATCCACCCATCTCCCCATACTCGTCTTTCCCTCACCCACCTCTATCTTCTCTCAGCTGTCTTCCCCTCACCGACCTCCCACAACCCATCTCCCTTCACCCATCTTCCCCCCACCTATCTCCCCCAGCCATCTTCTTCTCCCCACTTATCTTCCTGCCCACTTTTCCTCCCACCTATTCTCCCCCAACCCTACGCACCCATCTTCACCCATCTCTCCCGCCATCCTTCGTCCATCGATCCGCTACCTCCCACCCCCATGATCCACCCACCCCCATGATCCACCTACCCCCATGATCCACCCACCCCCACATGCTCCTGTGCTCCCGCGTGCGCGCATCAGGCACTGGCAGGGCTTTTGACAGTGTTTGGTGGGGTGCGGGAGAACCCGTGGGGCGTGGCGGGGTGCATGAGCCAGGAGCAGTACGCGCAGTACGTGCACGCCACTGTGGCCGCGAGGCCCTGGGTGCATGCTGTCATCTACCTCCTCCTCCTCAACCATACCGACAGGTTCGCGCTGCCCTGCTCCCCACTCCATTTTCCAGCCTCGCTTCTTTGAGGCCAAGCACACATTCACCCCTCCCCCCCCCCCCCTCCACAACACACACACACCCTAAAAGCATTCTGCTGGTCAGTATGAGCTTGAACCCTATCGAAGCCAAGCGTGCATGTCGTTAGCACGTGCTGCTGTCCTTATGTGCTGTCCCTGTGTGCTGTCCCTGTGTGCTGTCCCTGTGTGCTATCTTGCATGCCGCCCGTGCGTGCGGTGCGGTGGTGCAGGGCGGTGTATGAGGAGCAGATGCGGTGCAGAGTGGTGGACTTCATGGACCGCGCGCGCCCCCCAGCGGGCTGGTACATGCCCATGCGCTACTGGTACAGCGAGGTCCCCCTCGCCACCATGCTCGCCGGCACGCCCTGCAAGGACGCGCGCACCAACCCCTCGTACGGCCCGCAGCTGGGCGGCATGGTGGAGAAGGTGGACCGCTGGCTCACCACGCCGTACGTGCTCGACAATGGCAACGCTGGCATCGGTAGGTGGGTGGCTTAAAGTGGTGACTTTTGAGTCGACTCAGAAGTCACCTTGTTACAATGGCAAGCGGGCGGCATGGTTGACAGGGCGGAGAGCCGGCTCACCACGCCCTACAAGCGTGAGCTGGCATCGGTGGGTGCCGTCACTGGAGCAATGGGGGCAGCAGCATGGGTGGGTGGGGCAATGGGGGCAGCAGCATGGGTGGGTGGGGACAGGCGCCGTGGGTTATGCGAGTGGGAGTGGGAGGGCTGTGATGCCGTATGAGAGACATGAAAAGGCGATTGGAGTGGCATCGCTCATGTTCAAGTGCAGCAAGGGCTATCAGGCATGTCGAAAGTAGAGAAATCCGTGCATGCCTGGACGCATGCATGCCTGGGCGCATGCATGCCTGGGCGCATGCATGCCTGGGCGCATGCATGCCTGGGCGCATGCATGCCTGGGCGTGTGCATGCTGTTCCACGCCATTGCCCTCTTCTCTCCCTCACGGCCTCCCTCCCTCCTTCCCTTTGCCCGGGTCTCTCCACTGTGCAATGTCGCCGCACGTGCACCACCCATGCAGGCATGACGTTTCCGCTCTTCCGAGCCGGCGTGTCTACGGGGTCGGCCTTGGCAGAGCGGCAGAGCGCGTTGATCGGAGCCATGGGGGCGTCGGTGGACTTGAAGCGCCTCGCCAGCGCCATCATCCTGGACGTGCTGCAGGGTGCGCCTCGTCTCGTCTGCACGGTGGACTGGGAGGAGCATTGCTGTCAAGTTCTTTTGTGTGGCCGTGAATAAGCCTGCTGCTTTAGCTGGCCATGCTCTCATGCTGCCATGCTCTCATGCTGCCATGCTCTCATGCTGCCATGCTCTCATGCTGCCATGCTCTCACGCTTCCCAGCTCTGACCACCAGTGCTGGACTAGTCTGTTGTGTGAAATGAACGGATGGATGCACGGAACGCCAATTTTTAGATTCATTTACAGCACGCGTCCAGTACTGCCCCTGCTTTTGTTGCGTGTCGGCGATGCAGCGAGTTCCTATCTTGCTCGTTGCCAATGGACCTTTTCTCTCTCATGCATTCTGACACCCCCTTCCCGCGCCCACGCCCCCACCAGACGTGAACTACATGCTTGAGATCTACGACATCACAGACACCTTGGCATCGCCCCCGTCATGCCCGCGCCTGCTGTACGGCGTGGGCGACTTGCCGCAAGGCGACCCGAAGCAGGTGTCCAAGGTCATTCCGCCCTCCACCGCCGCCATGCTGCAGCCGTACCGCCACAAGGCCGTGCACCCACTCAACCTCACCGACCCATCTCGCACCTTCCAAGTCTGGTGCCGGTATTCCTCTCAGTCTGCTCCCTTTGTCTCATACCCCTTCTCCTGTCGTCCCCTCCTCTTGTCTCCTCATCTCGTCGCCTCGGCTTATTCCCCTCCCTTTATATCCTCTTGTTCCCTCCCCTCGTGCCTTCCGCTAATCTTCTCCTCAACAATGGTAATGGTTCACCAGTTGTTGTGCCTGATCGGGCGTCGCATGATTTGGCTCCTGTCTGCATTCTCGTAAGACTCGCTCAACTGTCCACGTTGCCCTCATCTCCTTCACTCCCTCTGTTGCGCGTTTCTCCCCCTTCGCAACCCCCTCCACTCTGCCCTCCACCCTCCGTGGCTTTTCTCCCTATCTCGCCCTCATTTCCCTCTGCCAGCTTCGCAGGGGCAGACGAGGCACGCAGTTGGGTGGCGGTCGTGCTGGGCGTGGTGATAGTGGTGGTGGCGGCACTGCTGGTGGGCATTGCAGTGAGCGTGGTGCGCAACACACGGCGGGCGAGGAGGAAGACGGCGGTGGTGGAGGGCTTGAAGGAGAGCACGCAGCACAAGGAGCACAACAAGAGCGCCTTCATCGCCACCACCTCGCACGAGCTGCGCACGCCCATCATCGGGATGAAGGGTATGCTCAGAATAAGTTTAGGGGAGCAACCTTGAGGTTGCTGCCCTTTCGCTCTTTCTGGCTCAACTGAAATGACACATGTTTGGTGTGTGGGAAACAAGAGTGATGCGTACTCAAACGCCCTTTTCTTTTATTGCGCGCGAACCACGTTCGCATCTAGAATAGTTGGGCGTCAAGCCGTGGCGCACGGGTCGCCGTGTTGGAGGTGTTTCAACTGACACGTATGACAGCATGCCCAAGGAGCAAAACATCAAGTAACGTGCGTGGATTTCTCTGCTTGCTGCTGTGCTTCGTGCTTGCTGCTTGGGGCTTGTTGCTGTGCTTGCTGCTTGCTGCTTGCTGCTTGGGGCTTGTTGCTGTGCTTGCTGCTTGCTGCTTGCTGCTTGGGGCTTGTTGCTGTGCTTGCTGCTTGCTGCTTGCTGCGTAGTGCTTGCTGCTGTGCTTGCTGCTTGCTGCTTGGTGCTTGCTGTGTGTGGCAGGCATGCTAGAGCAGCTGGCGGAGGGGCACACAGAGGGGGAGATGGAGGAGGACGTGTGGACAGCAGTGGAGGAGGCGGAGCGGGTGCTGCTGCTGGTGAACACGGTGCTTGACATCTCCAAGGTGGAGGCGGGGCACATGCAGCTCGAGCGACTGCCCTTTGACCCGCGTGCCTGGCTGCTGGGCGCCCTGCAGCAGCACGGCGCCAGAGCTGCTGAAGCCGGGCTGCAGTGTGAGTGTGAGGCTCATGGGGTATTTGCTCATGGGGTATTTTCTCATGGGGTATTTGCTCATGGGGTATTTGCTCATGGGGTAAGGTGCTCATAGGGGGTAAGGTGCTCATGGGAGCATGGATGCATGCACAAGTGCACAACCGCCCACGTGCATGAAGGCATGCATATCAACGCACGTACCTAATCTCCGTTTCCTGCTCCATTCCCACTTCCTCCCCCCCATGTGCCCACCTTGGGTTCTGTGCCTGCATCTCCTGCTGTGCCCATGCGCAGTCACGTGGCATGTGGATACGAGTGTGCCCGAGGTGCTGGAGGGGGACTACATGCGCCTGCAGCAAGTGCTGGACAGCATCGTGGGTGAGCCGGCAGGGCAGAAGGGGATGTTGGTCGATAATGATTTTCAGAGACCAGCTAGGTGGGCTGAGGATGCAGCAAGGGGTGGACAGCATCGTTGGTCCGCGTGCTGCTGACGCCATGTCCGTCCGTCCATTGTCTTGACGTGAATGACATGCATGTTGTGGCGGTGCAGACGGGACAAAAGGATTTCACATCTTTCATGTCGTTCATGTGCCCAGCCACCGTCCTGCCCCCAGTTGCGTCCTCTCATCCCTCTGCGTGCTGCTTCCCCCAGACAACGCCATCAAGATCACGAGCACGACTCCTTACGTGCTTGTGCTTACCTCCCCATTCACTCTCAACATTGTCCATTTCCTTGCTGCTCCCCCCAGACAATGCCATCAAGTTCACGAGCAGTGGAGGCGTGTGTGTGCGGCTGCAGTGCCTTCCCCCCGACACCCACATCCCCACCCACCTGCTCTCCCTCGGCTGCCTCCTTGCTGACGCCACCCCCTGCTGCCCCCCTGCTGCTGTTGCTACTGCTAATGGCACCAGTGCTGCAACCGCCACTCCTGAGGTTGCGCCGTGCAATGGTGCTGAGGAGCTTGTAGTGCCTTGCTTTGGGCAGCACATGGGGCATGGGCGGCTTGCGTGGGCAGCAGTGAGACAATGCTGTGAGCAGGCCCATGCTGCCACCCATCAGAGACACCTGCAGGCAGCGAGATGAGAGATGGGTAGTGCTGTTGAAACCACTGCCAATTCTGCTAGAGAATGGTTACTTCCAGGTTGTTGGCATGATAGGGGCTTTTGTTGGGGTATATTTCAAAAGCACTGATGTTTAAATTGTACTTGAGGATTACGGCCCTTCTTGGAGTCTCTTTGTCTTCCCTTTCCATACCCACCTTGCAATCCAATCATGCAAATCAGTGTAACTACGCTCTTTCATCGCCGTAGGTTCCGTGGTTGGGCGAACCAACCCTAACAATCTCCCCTGTGGTTCGCCAACCGCGAACTCTACTCGCACTCCTCCCCTGCTCCTCGTAGCCTTCACAGGGTCTAAGTCGGCTTCATGCTCCCCTGCAGCTCCTGCACCTTGAACTTCTGCTTACGTGTCTTGAAGTTGAGCGCCTTGACATCCAAACCTTGAGAGATTTTCTTAAGCCTCTCACTTCTCCTCGGCATCTTAACACCCAACACCTCTCGGGTCTCGTACCCCTCAACGTGTTCCTCCTTCGTAAGCACTCGCCCCTTTGCAGTTGCTTTCACCTTTGATCCCTTCACCATGATGTCCCCTTTCACAGCTTCGACTCCCACACACTTCGCATTTACTGCTTCATCTTTAACCATGATCGCTGCTGCAAAAGTGTTGACACCAACTCCATCTCCACCATTCACTGCTGCTGCCTCCATGGCGACTATCTCCTCTTTCTGCTTCACTGCTGCCTCCACACTCGCTGCCGTATCATCCGTGTCCTCACTCTCATCAACCTTAGTCGATAACTTCTCCAATTCTCCCATTTCACCATACTCAGGATCCTCATAGATCTCATCCATATCATTCGTCGCTATCACGTTCATCTCATAAAATCCGTCACTGAAGTAACCCTCTGCGTACTTCTCCCACTCTGGGCCAAACATTGTAACCTTTCCACTGTCATAAAATATCTTGCACCCCAAGTCATCAAGCTGTGACTGACTGACCAAATTCACCTTTAAATCCTCAACCAGCAGCACACTGTCCAGTTTCACCTCTCCATACGGACTCTGCAGCACCACGTCACCCTCTCCTGTCACTGGCAACTTCCCGCTGTTACCTTGCAGTATATAATCCTCACTCGAGTCCCTCACATTCTCCATCCAATCTGACCTGAATGTCATGTGACGCGTGCATCCGCTGTCCATGAACCATGCCGTCTTCTCACGATCGTCCGTCTGCCGAACCTCCTTTGGTAAACGCACCACGTTCGCAAGATGCGCTCCTCCAAAAATCACATCTTCCTTTTCCGCTTCTGCTACATTCGCCTTTGCCGCCACATTCCTCTGCTGCGACGGACCCTTGTAGCTCCTGCTATTCGGGTTGGAGTAGCACTCTGCGGCACGATGTCCATAGCGCCCACAATAGTCGCACTTGCCGCCAAAACCCCGTTTCTGCTGCCACTCCGCTCCCCCATTTTCTCCTTTATCGTTCTCCAACGCTTTGCCTTTGTAGTTCCTGCTTCGCGGATTTTCGTAGCAGTATATCGCCTTATGCCCCCTCTTTCCACACTGGTAGCACGCTCCAAACGCCTTTGTCGCATTCACCATAGCCGACCTCTCCTCGTCTAATTCCGCTGCTGCTGCCGCTTTCTTTTTCCTCATCTCCTTCACCGTCTCAAGCGATTGCAGAATCTCCTGCAGCTTCGTCAAACTCTCCGGCGGTTGGTACGTAAACATACCGATGTCGGATTCCCACTCCTTAGGAAGGCCTTGGATGATATAGTCAATCATCTCCTGCTCCGTCTCCGCGGCTCCCATCACCCGCAAGTCGTCGTTGTAGTTTTTCGCCCTGTTGATGTAGGTGATGATTTTCTCGCCTTTCTCCATGCTCAGCATCAGCAGTTGCTTCCTAATCGCCTTCTTGTTGACATCGTTCGTACCCATGTACGTGGACTCCAGGTATTCCCACGCTCGCTGTGCAGAGTTCAGCTCCCCTGCAAACTGGTCCAAATCCACCGCGATTCCGTCGGCAACTGAGTGACAAAGCTGAAAGAACGCTTGCTTACTTTGTTTTTTGAACGCCGCTATTTTCTCCTTCGTATCCGTCGTGGAAGGCGCAACTCCCTCCATCGTCTCCTCGTCGGGACGGTAGTACGGCAAGAGGTCAACCTCCTCTGCCCTCCGAATAAACTTCTTCCGCCACACGTTGTAGTTGCTTCCATTGAAGCGCTGAGCTTCACTGAGCCCGATCGTCGGTTTCGCCACCAATCGGCCACTCGCAAGGGCCTCGAGAAGAGCCTTCAACTGCGGGTCTCCAAGACTCACACTGGAACCCGAACTCGCCTCGTCTCCCATGGCGTAGGCGTGAACGACTCCTCTTCTCCACTAATTTCACTTAGCGCACCAAGTGAATTCACCGCGATCGACGAGCCCGTTCGCCAAGCTCTGATACCAGTTCTTAGGATCGTAAACACCTTAGTCGGCAATAGTCTACTTGCTATTGCTTATCGTGTTCTCCACGATCTCCCAAATCCAACGATATGCGCAGCTCTGCTTGAAGTTGTCAATACACACTTCAGCAATTTAAGAATCTCAATGTTGTCCAATGTTGTGATTTCCAGAATGAGTACAAGCAGTTTTATGGTCAGGCAAGACACAAAATGCGATTCGTAACTTCACTTGTTTCCCAAGTAACCGCGTGTGCCTCGTATACCCCGAGTCGCACACGGAACCGAACCGAATGCACCGAACATTTCTTGAGTCCGAATCTCGAACCTTCTCGAACGCGCCTCAAGCTCGAACCACAATTTCCCCCGTCGATCTCATTCTCGATGCTTCTCCTTCTCTATTCCTCCTTCCTGCACATTCCTTCTCGATTTCCTTCCCGCTTCTCACGCCGTAGCTTCTATTCTCCACCGTAGGTCGATTTCCACCGTCTTAGATCTAAAATCTCCCACGCGCTCCATTTCGCCGTCATTCCGCATTTCGCCGTAGGTTCCGTGGTTGGGCGAACCAACCCTAACAGTGGCAGCATGGGCCTGCTCAGCACGCAGGGCCGCGGCACCACCCTGCATGTTGCTCTCCCCATCGCTGCCCTTCCTGCCACTGCTGCTGCTGCTGCTTCCCGTGCTGCCAGCACGAGCACACGAGCTCCCAGTGTTGCCCCTGCTGCTCCCTTCACAGCTTGCAGCACCAGGAGGCTGCTGGGCTGGTGCGAGCAGGTGGCAGCAGGGAGGCGAAGTGAAGGAGCAGGGCGCAGAGGGAGTGGGAGGGAGATGCAGGTGGCAGGTGTGAAGGCTGGTGGACTCACAAGGCACACACGGGCGATGGCAGCGCAGGGAGGGGGGGAGGTGCAGGGAGGAGAGGTGGGAGCGAAGTGGGTGAGCGGCACGGGGCGGAGTGCCAAGGAGGATCTCAAGGAGGCGCTGCAGGGCATGGAAATCCTGGTGAGGCGCTGCAGGGCATGGCAATCCTGGTGAGGCGCTGCAGGGCATGGCAATCCTGGTGAGGCGCTGCAGGGCATGGCAATCCTGGTGAGGCGCTGCAAGGCATGGCAATCCTGGTGAGGCGCTGCAGGGCATGGCAATCCTGGTGAGGCGCTGCAGGGCATGGCAATCCTGGTGAGGCGCTGCAGGGCATGGCAATCCTGGTGAGGCGCTGCAGGGCATGGCAATCCTGGTGAGGCGCTGCAGGGCATGGCAATCCTGGTGAGGCGCTGCAGGGCATGGCAATCCTGGTGAGGCGCTGCAGGGCATGGCAATCCTGGTGAGGCGCTGCAAGGCATGGCAATCCTGGTGAGGTGAAAGCGAGGGCCATGATGGTACAAAGGGGCGGTTAGATGGGCATGTGAGAACCTTTACTCTCTCCACCATCCCTCCATCCTCCTGCCTTTCCCCACCCTTCTTGCATGCACCCCTTCCCACCACCTTCTCCTGGTTGCACACCGTGCTGCACCACACCATGCTGCACCACAACTCTCTCTCCCTCTCCCCCGTGTATCGCCCTCGCACTCCTTTGCTGTACTCACTCAAGCGGAGGACGACAATGTGGTAACTGCGTGCCATCTCCATGATCCATCCTTGCGTTCTCATCCCTCATCTCTCCCTCCTCCCCTTCTTCCCATCTCCTTCCCCCATGCCTGGCTTCACCAGTGAATGGCACAACCATGCGATTCTCCTGTCTGGTCTTTCAACATCACCCTCTCAAACTCTCTTCTCTTTCTCAGCCAACCACGTGGTGGACAACAACTCCACGTTCTATCTTTCAGCCTCGCCCCTCTCAACCTCTCCCTCTCAACCTCTCCCTCTCAAGCTCTCCCACTCAAGCTCTCGGCCATGTGGTGGATGACAAAGCCATTCAACTCCGTCCCTCTGTTTTCATCCCCTCTCCACCCCCCCCTGTACCCGCCGTGCATGGCGGCACCAGGTGGTCGACGACAATGCCATCTCCGTCCATGTGTTCTCATGCCCTCCGCACCCCCGTTATACATCCCCCCACGCACCAGGTGGTGGACGACAACCTGGTGAACCGGCGGGTGGCAGCGAGCACGCTGGCGCGGTACGGGGCGGAGGTGGCGCTGGCAGAGTCGGGCGAGGCGGCGCTGCGCCTGCTGCAGGCGCGCCACTCCTTCCGCCTCGTGCTCATGGACCTCCTCATGCCCGGCCTCGACGGGTGCGTTCGTGCGTGCACGTGTGCGTGTGTGCGCTTGTGCGCAGGTGCGAGTGTGTGTGCATGTGTGCTCATGGACCTCCACATGCCCACCCATGATGGGTGCGTGCGTCCATGAGCGTCTGTGAATGTTGCCCATCATCTTCATCTCCATGACTGCCACCGCACAAGGGGCCCTCATCTCGCCATCCTCTTCACTCATTCGCAGTCCCCAACCTCCCCCACCTTCCCATCCCTCGCATCCTTCACGTGAGCACCAAGCAGGTATGAGACCGTCACTCGGCTGCGAGGCATGGAGCGGGAGTCAGGGGATGGGGGAGCAGGGGGCGAGCGGCATGTGAGGGTGGTGGCCATGTCAGCAGACGTGGACAGCGCTGTGGCAGCACGTGCTGCTCTCGTGGGCATGGATGGGGCTGTGCAGAAACCACTCGAAAGCCAACTCCTGTCCATTATAAGAACACTTCAATTGAAATGTATCTCTTCTTAATTGCACTTATTTTGAACATACAACAAATATTTTAACCACTTCAATCCCCCAGATGCACCATCAGTGGCCATAATTTCATTGAAGGGGGCTTTTAATATGCTGATCTGATCCACCTATATCTGTAACACAATCGTCAGGAGTGAACCACCCCTCTAAAGAGTGGCAGGATTTCATGCTGGCAACTTTCCTTCATGCTGGCAACTTTCCTTCATGCTGGCAACTTTCCTTCATGCTGGCAACTTTCCTTCGTGCTGGCAACTTTCCTTCATGCTGGCAACTTTCCTTCGTGCTGGCAACTTTCCTTCATGCTGGCAACTTTCCTGGCAACTTTTCTTCCCTTCCCTGCCTCCAGCCCCACTTCCTCATGCCTCAACAATCGATCATCTGTTTGTGTGTAACTGTTGGCAGGCGAAACGGCTCAATGCGCGATTGACCATTTCATTGCCCTCCCATCCCCCTCTCCTCCCCTCCCCTGCGAGCCTCAGAACAGCTGCGGCACGTGGGTCTGGTCCGACACGGGCGGCCGCACATGGAAGTCCTGCTGCAGCGGCGGCAGAGCCACACTGTGGGGCAGCGGCAGGTCCTCATATGGTATGAGCGCCAGCAGGTGCGCCAACACATTCAGCCGCGCGCGCCTCTCATCGTCCGCAGGCACCACGAACCACGGCGCCTGCTTGACATCGCAGAAGCCAAACATGACGTCCTTGGCGTGCGAGTACTCCGCCCACCGCGCCCGCGCCTCCACGTCCTCCGCACTCACCCTCCACCGCTGCTCCGGCCGCGCCAGCCGCTCCCGAAACCGCCGCTCCTGCTCCCCAGGGCTCACAGACACCCAGTACTTGACGAGGATGATGCCGGAGCGAACCAGCATGCGCTCAAACTCGGGGCACGAGCGCAGGAAGTCGCGGTACTCCGCGTCGGAGCAGAGTCCCTTCACGTGCTCCTCGCCTGCGCGCGCATACCAGCTGCGGCCCAGCAGCACCATCTCGCCGGCGGCAGGCAGGTGAGCGACGAAGCGCTGGAAGTACCACTGCGTGCGCTCGCGGTCCGAGGGGGTGCCCAGCGCCGTGACGCTGCAGACGCGCGGGTTGAGCGGCCCTGCGATGGCGCCCATGAGATCGCCCTTGGCTGCTTCATCGCGCCCCTCAAACAGCACCACCACCCGCAGCCCCTGGCGGGAAATCCACTCCTGCAGCTTCACCATCTCGCCCTGGCGAGGAAGGGGAAGGATTGGAGGGGGGAAAGTGGAGAAGAGGAGGAGTGAGGAGAGGGCAGACGAGGAAGTAGAGGGGTGGGGCTGGACAGGGCAGGAGATTGCTGGTGTGTGTTGAGGGGTGGGCAGATTTATTGCCGGAAGTAGATGCTAACGAGACAGTGTATGAGGTGCTGGGTATGTGGCCACGAATATGAGGTTCGGAATATGAGGTCCAGGTTATGAGGTTTGGGATCTGAGCAGCGCGTGAGCAAGTGTGCGTGGTAAGGTGTTAGGCAAAACGACGAGGGGGATCAGCAGAGGAGATGAGCGGATCAGATCGGCGAGGAAAATCAGCAGGGCAGATCAGCTGGACGGATCAGCCGGGCAGATCAGCCGAGCAGATTAGTTGGGCAGATCGCAGATCGTTGGGGTCAACAACTTTTGGCGCGAATGCGGCACCGACGGTGTCTGCAGCGCACCCGTGCATGGCTTACGGCGCACCCGCCACCACTCCGCTCGGGCGCTGCCTCATCCTGCCGCTAGTTCACCCCTCACATACCTCGCAACGAATGTTCGCCTCTCCAACCGCCGCCAATGCGCGCGTGTCGTCTCACCTGCAGTCGCTCGAGCTCTTCGTCGTAGTTGTAGTCGCCCCTCCTCGCCCCGCCGTCCCTTGTCGCAGCCATGGCATGCGACTCCGCGTCGTCCGGGTAGTGCGCTCGTCTTTCTACGCGGCGCGCCTCGAGCATCTCAACTCTCGTCCGCTTCTCTCCGACGCAACCCTTCAAGCCTGGAACTGCCTTTTCCACCCGCGCCGCCATCGCAGCCATCGCGGCGCCGTTCATGGCCTCTCTCTTCCATTCTTTCTTCTTCCCCTCATTCTTCTTCCCGCCCTTTTTCTCCGAGTCGCTGAGCGCCACGTCGACGTGGTGGTACACGCGTGGCGCCCAGTGGAGGTGCTGATGGTGAACAGTGTCGCGTCCACCGAGAGCCAATGAGAACTCGCGGCGCCTCGTCGCCTGCTTTGTGCCACCTTCAGCCTTCTTCGCCGCAACGCGCACGATTAGGGAGCCGTTTCTCCGCGCTTCCGGCGCACGGCACGGTGATACGGGGAGGGGCGGTTGCGCGCATGGTCGAGGCGGATGCAATCGGTGCGCGTCTTCTCTGAGCCGAGCCGCGGCCCATTCTGCGGACAGCGGATTCACCGACGTCACTGCCGCCCGCGAGATAGCTGCTTGAAACGCGCACATTGCGGCGCGAAGGGCGCAGCCTCCGAAGGGTGACGGGTATCAGGGTGGTACGCAGAAAGCAGTGCACGGAGTGGTGCAGAGCGGTGGAACGGGCAATTTAATTAGCTGTGGAAGCTGGCTGTTGGCCCGCGGCAACGCTGGCAGGACGACGCTTCAACGCTTGTTTGTGCGCGCTCCCCTCTCCGCTGCCGTTCTTGCTTCTGTCGACCATACCTCTTTCGCTGGATGACTACTGAAATCGATTGCTCAACATTGCAGAGTGAGAAGGGGCGTCGGTAAAAGTCATTCCTGGTTTTTCCTTAATTCCGTGGTCTAAAACGCCACAATCGGCGGACATGTGCCATAAAAAGTCGGAGGAGGTGCGTCGTTTGCGAGAGAATGGCGGGGGTTGGGAGTGACGGGTGATGGTGATAAGCATGTGTGTGGTGGCGGTGAGACAGGATGCTGAGGGATGGGAAGGATCAGCATTCAGGTGTGCCGCGAGGGAGGGAGGAGCGATCGCGGCGGTTATTGGAGCGAGCGATCCGACGTGACGTGCCTGGTGGAAGCGACAACAGGCTTGGAGAGCGAAATTCAACCAAGGAACGATGTCAGCAGGGCAGTTACGCGACTCGGCGAAAAAACTTCGCGCAAAAAGCTTTTGCTGCCTCGCAGGTCCCGATTGTGCTTTCTCTTCTTCCTTCGTGACCACTCGCTGTGGGGCTTCTTTAGCGAAGTCGACATCCAGTCTCAGCCTTGGCGAATTGTCTGCGAAAGGTTCAGAAGTTAGGGCGGGGGATTTTGAAGAGCCAAGGGGAGCACAGGTCAGCAGAGACCGTTGAAAGCGGAGGTCGTTGAGAAAAGGAATATTCTTTTGCGGCGAGATGTCGCCGACTCAGCAAAAGTGCAGCCGCGTGGAAAATGCAACAAATCAAGTTTGGGCAAATGTTCCTCCACACGTCAACTGTTCGCTAAGAAAGGAGCCGTTACAGAATTAACAAATGCATTATCACTTAACTCAAATGGTCAAATAGCTTTCCATGACTTGTCTAGCTAACGTAGCTCCACTAATTCTGTAAATAGCAACCAGGTTATGAGCTGCTTCTTGTTTCAACCCTGCATCATATTCCTGTCCTTCCTGGTCATTAAGATCTCTGATTCTGCGAATTCTCAATCCTGACTGCTCTGACGTGGCATGGTACTTGCATGGAGTGGCGGATGTGAGAACATGTTTGTAGTAGTCGACAGCGATGTGGAACAGACCAACATGGTGGAACGCACGACCAGAATCTAACTTCACTTCCTGAGATGTGTAACAGGGAACGTCGCAGGAAATGTTGGTCATGGGAAGGAGATGCTAGGAAAGCAGAAGTGGGACCCACTTGGGAGCACGGCTCACAAGTGAAAAACATCAGCTGCTCTCACCTCAGGTCAAGTGGCCTCACCTGAGTGTCACCTGAGGGTTAGGCGTACTGCTGCAGCGTTGCCATGCCTTGCAACACGCACGGATTGCGATCATGCATGCGCGAGCGCAGGGAGAGATTCAGCAGCGCCACTCCTGGTGGCAGCAGGCAGTACGAGTATGAGAGAGAGACGAGGGTGAGGAGGGCAGTGAGGCCATAGAGGCATGCTAACGTCACATGCGCGAAGCCGACTACGCGATCGGGTGCACGGGAGATGCAGCTGACTACCCGCAAATGTTGACGCCGACTTAGGCGAGCAGGTCGATGAAGTTGGTCGACCTGCGCGGGACCGATGCGAAGCCGCCGACGAAGGAGACCGGTGGCCGAATTCGACCTGGGTGGTTGACGAAGGAGTTCGTCGACCTGTGGGGACGCCGACATCGAAAAGTTGGCGGATGGTGTCAACCAGGGTGATCGACGAGCATGTGCAGCAGTTGGCGGGCTCCGGCCACTAGGACGACGCCATCTACGGAGCTACCTGGTCGACCAAAATGGTGGTCGACGCAAATGGTTGTCGAGCAGGCCTTGCTCGACGGGTCGTGGTCGATGTGCTGGTCAAAAGGCTCTGCTCGACAAGCATTGTCGAACTGACCGAGGGGAGCTGCTCGACGGCGAAGCTTGGCAGGTGCGCGAGCTTCGCCGTCAGAGACATTGGCGAAGTCGGCCTACGGGTTGGTATCCCGAGGTCGACGTGGAGCATCTGGTGCGATTGTCGGCACGTGGCCAACTCGGCATCTACGCGACGGGCGGGACGAGGTACCACGTGCTAGACCACCTACAAGCACCTGCGAAGGGGGTGCGCACTCGCGCTATAGTCATCTATGGTTGCAACGCTGGCTAGCCACTCTGCTGCAACGTTGGCAAGCTGCGCACAGCGCTGGCAGGTCGTTGACTTGCAGAGTTGGCAAGCCACCTCCCAGCAACGTTGGCGCACCGTCGACCTGCTCTGCTGGCAGGTCGCCCCGTTGCCGCCCTGGAGTTCGACTTGCCTGGTCGCTAGGCTGCTAGGTCCCATATGTAGTCATTGTTGCCCATGCTTTCTCTATCATTCTGTATTCCCGTTTCGCTAGTGGAAACTCTTGCAGTTTTTCTATGTAAACACACAAGTGCTAG